CCAGTGTGGACTATTTCGCTATAAGCAGATGAGAAAACCTCAAAATGCTTATTGTGAAGACTTAATTGTGTGCACATATTGCTTAGAGTTATCACAGAACAAAGCTGGTTATCGCAGCAGCCCTTCGGGGGCACCCGCAGTCCGATGAACAGAGCATGTGACCCACACACTGGCTACCATTCCACGGTGCAGAGGGGGCGCACTGACACTTAAGACCGCGCAGTGAGCCTCGAAAACCTGCTCAGTGAAGAAGCTGACACAGGCCACAGTGTGACCCCACTTATGCAGTGTGACCTGCGTGGACACGGAGAGCCACGGTCTCCAGGGCTGGTGGGATGGGGCTGCTTTTTGGAGTGATGGAACATTCTGGAATCAGGTGTGGGGGTTGCTCACACTCAGTGTGCACAGGCCTGGGCTCCGCAGCCCCCTGTCCAGCCACCCCAGTGTTGGTCTCCAGTATTTGCCCTTGTTGGGGGCTGTGGCCCCACTGGAAGGCTGGACCAGTTTCTCTGCCCGTCGCCCAGGGCTGGGCCACCACCCTGGGGGACAAGGGCCCCCGCCTGGCTCCTGAGGCTGCTGGCCCCTTTTCAGCTGCACAGAGACCCTGCCATAGGGGGCCCGGCTCCCACAATCGAGTCGTGCAGAGCAGATGTGACTGTCCTTCCGTTGCCCTGTGTTGGCCACACGAGACACCGGCCTGTGTCCAGCCAAACGTTTCCTGACATTCCACTGACCACAGTGCGCGTGTGAGGGAAGGAGATGATGGGCACATCGCACGCGCGCGTATGCGCGTGCACATGTGTGTGCACGTGTGCGTGTATGTGTGTGTGCATGTGTGTGTGCCTGTGTATGTGCACACATGTGTGCACGTGTGTGCATGCACCTGTGTGTGTGCACGCACATGTGCATGCATGTGTGTGCCTGTGTGTGCGTGCACACGTGTGTGTGTGCGCGCGCCTGTGCGTACATACCTGTATGCTGGCTGCCCTGGCCTCTGCTTTTCTGCTGGGGGATGGTGTTGCCATGTGGATTGAGTTCCACTCTTAACCTAGAGATGTGTGGCCACGTTCGAGGTCTCTGAGAACACCAGGAGTTTTAAAGCTCAGAGCGGACTGGTGGGCAGGGGTGACTTGCCGCTGACCCGCTGCTGACTCAGCGTAAACACTTGGTGGGAGGGGTGAAGAGGGCTCGGTTTTGAAGTGGCTTGTCCCACATGTGCCCTGTCTGCTGTCCCTGTTCCTGCTGGCCCTTACCCCTCTCCACTCCCAAAACCTCTTCTACTGCCCGGCCACCAGGCTCCAGGGTTTGTTGACTCCCTGCCCCGGGTGTGGCGGGGGCTGCCCTCCCACGCCAGACTGCCTGCTGTCCACTGCCCCCTCCGAGACTCCTCCAAAGTCAGCGTCCCCTCCCAGAAGCCCTGGCCCATCAGGTGGTAGCTCCCGGCACTGAGTTACCCGGCGTCCTCACTGTTTGCTTGGCAACGCTGGGTCTGAGCTGCTGTTGTGAACCTGCTTTTTGGAGTTTAGGGCTGCCTGTGCTCTGGACCTAGGGGCTGGATTCCAGGGGCCCAGGGCACCAGCACTCTGATGAGGCTGGGAGAAGTGTCCTGCTTCCCGGGCAGGGTGGGCCTGGGACCGTGTCTGTGCCTCGTGCTGTCCTTTGAGCTCAGGAGGGGTGGAGAGGGTCACAGAGCCCAAGAACAAGATGCGGCCCCCGCTGACTGGCTCTGAGGACCTTCACCAGCCGCGTTCCGGGACCGGAAAGGATGGGGGTTAGGGCAACGACATTACCACTGATGACCAAGGCTCCCTGCGTTCCTGGGAGCCTGCTTTGGGGAACAGCCTGGTCCCTGCAGCAGGGTGGCCGTCTCCTGCACTGGCTCGAGGCACCCTGCATCCTCCAGGAGCCCAACACCTGGCAGCTCGCACCACCACACTTCGTGAAGTTGCTTCTAAAATGCTGTTAAAAATCCACGGTGGGCTGGTTTGTGCAGCCACTGGCTTACAGCCGGAGCATGTGTGCTTCTGCTCTGTCCTGGCTGACAGCACAGCCCTCTGCCTGGGGACGGGCTGGCTCCAAGGGTGGGGGCCCCGGCAGGGAGGGTGGGAGCCGGTGCAGTGGCCCCACGTGCTCTCTTGGCCTCAGGAAATCCTTTCCGCAAGGGTTTGCTCCTCCTCATTCCTGTGTTTCTGTAATGTTCTCCTGAGCTAGTTCTGTGCGGCCTTTTAAGGAAATACGTGCTTTTGCTTTGATCTTGACGTGAACTTATAATTCTGAGGGGGTTTGGCTGACAGCTTGGGCGCCGCCCTGGGGAAGGGGGGTCTTGTCGGACCATGCACAACTGTGCCCACCACTTGTTTGCGTTTTACCTCTGACGCCCCTCTCGAGGGCTGTGGGGGCAGAGGGTGGGGGTGTGAGGGCCGGGTTCATGGGGCTGGGAGTTAGGAGATGGACCCAGGGCCCCCGACACAGGAAGACCCCACATCACAGGAACACAGACAAGGCCCCAGGCAACTTCCTGATCTCAGAGCTGTGGCTGTTCATCCGGGAAATTTACAGAACTCCGTCGGAAAAACACGGAGAAGCAGGGAGCCCGGAGCTGCCCTTCTCGGCCCTCGGCCTGATTCTGTGTCCAGAAGTCGGGCCTGAGCGTCTGCATTCCCTGTGTGTGCCGTTCTGACAGCAGGTCAGATCAGCAACACTGAAAGGCCACGGACGATGACCGGAGCCTCACTCCCCCACGGATGCTGATGGGAGCTGGGGGGCCCCTCCCCGCGGGGTCCTGCAGGACAGGGCAAGGTGGAGGCAGCCCAGCCTTGTCTCCCGGGCTGTCCTGGGCGGTGCCCACTTGTGTTTGTCCCAGTGGCTTCCTTTCAACCGAGGAAGAGGACCGTCTCCTTCATGCCACTTTCTGGCCCCATCCTCCTTGGCCCGTTTTCCACTGGGTCAGGATGGTCAGGATGGGGTGAGAGTGGGGTTGGGGCTGGGAGAGGCTGAGTGAGACCGGCGTCCTCTCCTGCTGGGGCTTGTCAGCCTCAGCTCAGCCCCTCAGCGTGTGGTTCAGCGTGTGGTTGACCACGCGTGGTTATGACTCCATCCCCACTGACCGCAGGAGGCCACAGCAGAGGCGGGGCCTGGTTCCAGCTGCCAGGTGGCTCTCTCAGCGCCTTGGACGTGCTCGTGTTTCTTTCCTCACGTCCCTCGACAGAAATATGTGTGTCTGACGCAAAGCCAGGCTTTTGGGAACGCGGCCCAGCGGCGCACTGAGAGTGAGAGGAACTCAGGACCCGGATGGCTGGAGCAGCTCTCGCAGGCGCCCTCCGATAGCAACCGCCACCCGGGAGGCAGCTCCCGCCCCACACAGGGGGTCCTGGCTCTGTGGCCACTTGTCAGCCGCTGATTGGGTGCCTGTCCTGTTGCTCGGGTGGGGCTGGTGGACCCATGGGCCATGCTGATTGGTGTAGATCCATCCGCAGACACCTGGTCGTAGCCAGTGTTCCGCAGGCCCTGTGGTCACCACGGCCAACACAGCATCAGCACATAGTAGGACGGCCAGGTGATCAAGAGAAGCTGGCCTCTCCCGGACCCAGCTGTGACTGCTCCCATGGTGCCCTCTGGGCAGCCGGCGGCGCGTCTTGGAGGGTGATGCCATCCTGTTAGTGCTTCTGCAGTTCTCACGATCTTGGCCTCCAGGAGCCAAGGCTGCTCCTCGTGGCTGCCCGCTGGGTCATGTGACCCCTGGCAGCCTGGCCGTGAGCAGGGGAGGGACGACCTGGTGCAGGCAGCCCTTCAGGGACAGGGTTTGCCAGGAAGTGACTGCCCTCGAGGGCAGGGGCCGGGCTCCTGCTTCATTCGTGTCCACCGCACGTGGTCAGCACCCGCCACTGAGAATGGCCCTCAGCAAATATTTGCTGATCAAGTGAATGCGGCCAGACCGCAGTTTCAGCCCCTCCCCCTGCGGACAAGGAAACAGCCGTTTGTCCTACGGGGGGTGGGGGTGGGGGTCCGTCCTGCCCATGCTCCTTGACATTCAGGCTGGATGGAAGGGGCCTCCAGGTGACAGCCGCATCTTTGTGTTGCCACCTTCCAATTTCTTCACCTGCCTCTTGGAAATGCACCACGGAAGCCCCCGTGTCCCTGAGGCTTGGCTGCTCTAGAGAAATACCGGGAGAGCCACCCGAGTGTTTCATTGTCCCCAGAGGCCCTCAATGACATCAGCCAGGACTTGGAGCACTGATCCGGCGGCCTGCCCATCAGCCAGTGGCCCCGTGGGTCACCTCAGGCAGGCTCGCTCCCTGGGTTTGTAGCCAAGACATGAGCCGGGCTCCCAGGAGCACCTGGGGCCTGCAGCCGGGCCGGTCTCCTCTGTTCCTGAAACTCAGAGGTGACATACGGGCTGAGAAGCCCCTTTCCTGCCTCCCTTGGGGTTGAGAGGCTCCCCACCTGCCTGCGTTTCCCACAGGCAGCGCTCTCCGAGGGGTTAGTTCACTCTGGTGTCGCCTGGGCCCAAAGCGGGAGGGGTGGGGCTGGTGGTAGTTGTCAGCTGAGACGTGTCTCAGAGATGTGTGCGCTCACAGACTCAGACTCGCACGGGCTGGCACAGGCTCGAACCACACAGACGCGGGGTCTTCTAGTCTGCTGCCTCTGTCATTGAACCTCAGCTCTGATGCAGACATTTGAGGACCGCCTCCCACCTGCCACCCCCAAAGACACCAAGCAATCATGCATTTGAGGTCCACATCCCCTGTCGGTCTAGAATTTTCCATTTGCTCTTGGTGGCGTCATCAGGAGAGGCAGCACGCCTCTCCCCTGCCCCCAGCGCACCTCTGCCCGTGGGTCACAGGGCCTGGCTGGGCGCAAACCTCCTGCAGCCCAGGCCACGGGGCCCCCAGTGCCTGGCCACCCAGTGGCCCCGCCGGTCCGGTAGGGGTGACAGAGATGGCATTCAGGATGCTTAACTTGCTTCCCCCTTTTTTCTTTCCTGCCACCCACCTTTGCAGGAGACGTTCTCTTCCAGATGGCCGAAGTCCACAGGCAGATTCAAAATCAGCTGGAAGAAATGGTGAGTCCCAGCCCCCCACTGTGGGCCTCGGGAGGGGCCAAATGCCGGCTGGCCTGTGGAGGGCCAGGACCGCCTGCCATTCGGACGTCCGTTCCGCGCCCACTCCCAGAGCCCCGGCCTGTCCCGCAGGGTCATCAGCTCACGGATCAGATGGGCCCCAATTCCCCATGGGAGTGCCGGCCCGCCTGTCCCCGGGGGGGGCCCCTGCCGCCTCCCCCTGCCCGCCGAGTGCTCCCGGGCCTGCACGTTGGCTGAGTGCTGCTGTCCCTTCTCTCCGTGTCCAGCTGAAGTCCTTTCACAATGAGCTGCTCACCCAGCTGGAACAGAAGGTGGAGCTGGACTCCCGGTACCTAAGTGTAAGTGTCCCCAACACGGGCTGGGCCACCTCGCCCCGCTCCACTGTGGCTGACTGTTGAATCCTTCCCCCACCTCCCCACCCCCATCTGAAGGGTTTCAGCTTCCTACGAGTGTCCCACCCAGTGGGCTCCCCTGCCCCGCATTCTTGCCCGTTTGAGACAGAGTGCCGTCCTGGGGGTGAACCCCGCATACCCGGTTCCACTGCCCCCGCCTCATGGCTGCTTTAGTAACAACAGTGCCATGGTGGTGCCCATGGAACTGTCGCAGACTCCTTCTCTGACCTGCTGTAACTTCGTTGAGTTCCTCGTGCCTTGTCCTTGCCCCATCACGCCGCCCCAGCCAGGGAAGAGCCAGGGGACCCGCGTTCACAGTGGGCAGGAGGGGTGAGGCTCGCCTGGCTTTGCCTGGCCCCGTCTTCACCTCTGGGAGCCGGGCTGCCGTGGCGTGGGCAGGGCGGGGCCTTCACTGTGCTGTCCCCACTCGGAGTCGCAGTGGGCATTTCCTGCCATCCCTCAGGCTTGGGCCACTGCCGCCGGAAGGGGAGCCGGGAGGGGCAGGCCCGCTCATTGGCCGTTGTGTTTTGTGTTGAATCTCAGGCTGCGCTGAAGAAATACCAGACGGAGCAGAGGAGCAAAGGCGACGCCCTGGACAAGTGCCAGGCCGAGCTGAAGAAGCTCCGTAAGAAGAGCCAGGGGAGCAAGAACCCCCAGAAGTACTCGGACAAGGAGCTGCAGGTAGGCGCGGCCGCCGGCCGCACGCCGGGGCTCTGGCGAGGGCCAGCAGCGTGCCCGTGAGCCCGGCGCGGTGACTTGCTCTCTGCGCCGCGACTTCTCACCCCTTCCGCCTGTGGCGCTCGCCTGCTCCCGGCCATGGGGGCTGAGGTCGGCCCCTCTCGATGGAATTGGGCAGAGGCAGGCTCACTGTCCTGGTAGATTTCGGGGGCAGCAAACGCCCCACGTCGTGGAGCTGGCAGGACGGCCGGTGTGGCCCAGGGGTCCCCTGCCCAGCTCTCACTATGTCTGTGGGGTGCTGGAAGGCTCTCCACCAAAAGCACAGAAACACAGATGGAATGTCCCCGCCCCGTCCCTCTGCATTCCAGCCTGGGAGAGAGACCCCAGACTGTTCTTCTAATCAACTCGCGCTCACCCGCCTGGGCCTGGACCTCCAGGCATGCAGGCTCTCAGCAGCCCTGCCGCGTGGGGCAGATGGCATTGGAGGGCGCAGGAGGGACCAGCCCTAATGTCAGTCACGTCACTCAGCATCTCGCTCAGCATCGCAGGCGTCCTGTGCTGAGCGCGGCCGGGATTTAGGACAGCGTGGCCTGCGATGGGCCTGGCCCCGATACGCCTGATTCACCACAATGCCTGGCCAGAGACACAGATCAGCCCAGAACACCTGCTCTCCAAGGTCACACATAACCCAGATAGGGAGGAAAACCAAAACAGGACACCCTGCCATGTGTGAAGCAAACGCAGAAAACAGTCCTAGCCAGTCAGGGGTGGCGGCGTCTGGGAAGCACCCTGGGGGCGTGCGTGTGTGCGTGTGTATATGCGTGTGTGCGCGCGTGCGCATATGTGTGTATATGCGTGTGTGTGTGCGTGCAGTGCCAGGACTTGATTGCCCGCAAGTACCTCTGGCTGGTACTTGTAGCTGAGAGGCTGCCCCGCTGTGGAGTGCGCCCCACGCCGTCCCTGAGCACGGTGTACAAGGGCAGCCCGACCTGCTGCGTCCATCTGTGTGTGGGAATCACTGGTGGGGAGGATGGACTGGGCCCTGGCGGACGAGAGACGTCACCCTGTATGGCCAGCCGCCGAGTGCTAGTGGGGGAGCAGGAGTTGCGTTGCAGCCGCTGTGCGGCCACTGCACACAGTGTCGGCGTCTCGCGTGTGTTTCTGGCAGAGTTGCGGTGACACGGCCCCTACCTCCTGAGTCGCCTTCCCATTCTTTTCCTGCGTCAGCGGACCCGTCACCACCCTCCGGCCTTCCCACCCACAGCCCGTAGATGCTGCCTCGGTGGGCGGTGCTGGAGTCACTGCATGAATAAGGTCCCGGGAGTGGCCGGAAGCACGCTTGCACTGCTGGCTGCCTTTTTCTTTTTTGTCCCACCTTTGGTGCGGTTGCCATTTTGCTTCCTGAAAGCCCTGAACAGGGAACAGTGCCCCACCTACCCCCACCCCCCACCCCCGCCTGGGAGGACAATAGGGTCCTTAGCGCTTATGTAATCGCATTAGAGGTCCCTCTAAGGGAACCCCTGGGGCGGGGGTGGCCGGGCAGTGAGACAACTTGTCCAGGTGCAGCCGCCGGCCTGGGAGCCTGTGCACCCCTTTCTCATCAAGGTCCTTTTTTTGGGTAACAGTTTAATCAAGGCAATTCACATACCATGTAATTCACCCATGTAAAGTGCATAATCCAGTGGTTTTGGTATATTCACAGTTGTGCACCTGTCATGTCCATTTCAGCCTGTTTTCCACAGCACAGAAAAACCCCGAGCCCTTCAGCAGTCACCCCCATGTGGCACCCCCAGCAGGCCCTGCTGTGCCGTCTGTCTCTGTGGATCCCCGTTCTGGGCGTCTCGTGTGAATGTGGCCTTTTGCATCCGGCTTCTCATGCTCAGCTTCACACGGGTCGTAGTGTGTGTCGGGCATCGTTCCTTTTTATTGTCGAGTGTTGGTGCGTCTTTCCCTTTTACGGCCGTGAACCTGGAGGTTTGTCCTGAGCTGGGCTCGGTCCCTGAACCAGCTGGCCCTCCCGTGACCAACTCGCTGGGAAAGCAGAGGGCCAGTGAGGCTGGAGGCAGGTGGGCCGGCAGCACCCACGGTGTGTTCCCTGCCACACACCATGGAGCTACATGGGCTGAGATCTCGTCTCTGCGGAGTCCTTGCGACTTGGCTGCGTCTGGCCCCGTGGCACACCCCTTCTGCCCACTGGGAGCCCTCTGCAGGAGAGCCCTGATGGCCCCCCAGCTCCCTGCTCCGCTCAGAGGGTGGGATTTCTCCCTCAGCTGTGCAGGGCCTCCCTTAGCCCTCGCCTATCCCTGGAGGGAGTTTGGAGGGCCGCCCAGCAGGTCCCCAGCTTGGGGAGACATCACATCCACCCCGGCCTCCCCAGCCTCTCCTTGGAGATGCCTGATGCTGACCTTTCTTCCCGTGTCCAAGGGTCACCCTATGACCGAGGCGCCCCTGTGCGCTGTCCCCTCAGTGCAGCCCCGCCAACCCCCGTAGAGGCAGCTCCTTGCTGGGGGCTCTGGCTGAGCAGCCTCCTAGAACTTGCTTTTCTTTGCCCCGTGTGGCTGTTCCCTGCCCCCCCCCCGCCACCTCCGTGTGGCCCTGGCAGTTGGGTTTGAGTCCCAGCTCCATCCCTTCCAGCTCAGGAAGTCCCCTCTCAGCCTCAGTTTCCTTGTTTGTGAGATGGGGTACTTCCGCCACCCTCCCTGCTCTGAGCTCCGACAGGAAAGGCCCCGTCCCCTCCTCCTGGGCACTGGCCCTCTCCTCTCGTCCGCCTTCTCCAGGCCCAGCCTCCTCCTCTGCTTGGCCCTTAACCTTCGAGGCTTTATCGTGGTGGTTTTTCTCAGATAGCTGAGTTCCTTCCGGGAGGCGTGAACGCCCACCACACGTGTCTGCATCTTCTGTGCTGTCATTTCAGCTATTTGTTTAGGGGAAGCAGAGGGACAGTCTGACCACTGTGTGTTCTTTGCTCTCCAGTGGTGTAGACCACCAAGAGGCCAGGCTGGGGTGTCCTCAGAGTCCCTCCCCCACGTGTGTGCTGAGGGCAGGGGGTCCATGGGGCTGACGCTCTGAGCTGGAGGGAGGCCCAGAGCCACCTGTTGAGATGCCCGGGCAGCCGAGGGTCCCTTTGCACCCGGGGCCCTTCCTTGTGGCTCTCGGAGCCACGGGACGTCACGGTCACTAGACCCACTTGCTTCGAGCTCTTTGCGCCCCTCCTGTGTGCCCCTTGGCGGGCCACCGGGGACGTCAGTGGCTGTCGGTGACCCTGGAGACGAGGTGGGAGTAGCAGATGGGCTTGTGCACTGTCGCCGGGGTGAGAAGCAAGGTTCTGACCCGATCGGGCTCCTGTGGGGGGCTGTGTCCTTGAGCCCACCTGGAGGTAGTGATGCCCCCCCAGGAGGCAGCAGTGGCCTGGAGAGCCCCTGGGTTGAGCGCTGCACGCTGTGGCCTTTTCCCGGCCCTTCGAGACCCTTCAGTGCCCCTGGCACCTCGCACTGTCTCCAGGGATCCTCCCGGGGTCCTGGGCCACCGCGCAGCCCAGCGAGCAGCGCGAGCAGGTGGACGCGGGTCCTGGCCCCTGCACCCGGCACAGGGGCCTCACTGAGGTCTCCGAGCTGCCCTTGGCAGAGGAGGTGGTGTTCCCAGACCACCTGAGCCCCCGCGACTGCTTTTCTCGGGTGTGGGCGCGGCTGCTCCAGCATGTGGTTGTGGGCGTAGGTTTGCTCAGAGCTCAGGAGAGCTGAGTGAACGTCCGTGCGAGTCGACGGACTGCTGGGATCCCCCCGGCCCATCTGAGCTCTGGACGTGGGACAGTCACGGGGAGGATGGTGAGACCACTCGGAGCTCGGGGCACTGGCCCAGCAGCGGCCACCGCTCTGCCCTCCAGAGGCTCGTCCACCTGGGCCAGCGGCCCGACCTGCACAGAGGACAGGCCGTGCCCAGAGCAGCGGTCATTGCCCATGAAGTGATGAAGGGGGTAAAGTTGATCGGACTCTGCCCCAGAGAGAGAGGAAGATGGAGGGCATCGGTCTGTCCATCTGTCCGTCTGTGGTGAGTTCCCGTGGAGGGGGTTGGGTCACAGCCGGCTGCTTTCAAGAGCTGCTGATAATTGAGACTGTGTTTTGGGATTTCTGTGAAGAGAACTGGTTTTAATTATAGGTCGGGAACAGGTGCTCAGAGGCATTTGGGGTGCTAACTAGGACGAAGGGCTCTTTGTAGGAGGAAAGGCTCCAGCTCTGCCCTCACGGCCGGGCACTCTCCCCACGTGCGTGTGGAGGAAGCCACAGTGGACACAGTCCGTGGGGGGTGTGGCCACAAGCCTCATCTGGCGACTCTCACCCTTTGGCCCCCAGGGTCTCAGCCAAGCCTGGTCCCCTCCACAGGCACGTGGGTTTGAGTGCTTGCGCTGTAGCCTGACCGCCAGGGTTCTCAAAGCTTCCGGGTGATTCTGACCAGCGGCCTCTTCCCCGGCCAGCCAGCGGCCTCCAGGGCTTCTGACCGAAGGGTCTGGGCTGGGGTGCGGCTGTTGCCGAGAGCCGCTGTCCCCGGTGGAGCCGGTCAGTTTGGGGCATGTTCTCCCTTCTGTAAGTCACGTGGGTCTTGGGTAAAGATGTCTCCGGTTTATTGTTTCTCCCCTGCCCAGCTCGGACTGGGACAAGAGTGGACCCAGGCAGCATTTCCGCCCCAGGAGGGGCATCAGGGCTTAGAACGTCCAGCAGTCGTCCCTCGTGCTTGGGGGTGCACGCTGGGTGTGGGCCAGGCCAGAGCCAAGAGGAAGCAGTGTGTCCTTCCAACCTGTCTGCAGGCTTTGGGAGCTGAGCGGGGGCCACCAAGACACCCAGCAGTGTTGGGGCCCCAAGGGCAGAGGCGAGAGCCCAGGGAGGAAAGGCTGGCAGCAGATGGGTGTGGTGCAGGCCAAGCCCGCTGCCCCTAGGGCAGAGCGCCAAGGCCCAGTATGTCAGGGGTTTTCGGGCAGGGTCCTGCTGTTGGGGAGGGCGGAAGGCCCGCCC